TTTAATCGAATTTTAACTTAGCACAATTCTCATTCAATCGAATTTTATGTGATCCGAATTTTTAAATGATAGAAATTCCAATTCACCGAATTTCAAATTTGCCGAATTTTAATATATCTTTGAAATTGCAAATGACCGAACAAAAAATCGACAGAAAGATTTCGGCGCAATTTTTAAAATTGACCAATTAATTAAATTTATCAAGACAATTGTCATTCAATTTTAAAAATTGCGCCGAAATCTTTCTGTCGATTTTATGTTCGGTCATTTGCAATTTCGGACAAATTAAAGTTCGTTCAATTGGAATTTCTGTTATTTAAAAATTCGAATCACATAAAATTCGATTGAATAAGAATTCTGTTAAATTTAAAAAATTCTTTTAAATAAATAAAGAATTAAGTAAAAAAAAATTACTGTAAAATAAAAATTCTACCAATAATAATTCGGTATAGCTAAGGGGCCGTCCATAAATTACGTCACACTATTTTTTACTATATTTTAGACCCCCCCCTCCCCTATGTCACACTTTTTACATACATTAGCGCCAATTTTTCTACTGGTTGTCACAAATTGCTTGACCCCCCCTCCCCCTTAAGGTGGAACGTAATTTATGGACGATCTCTAAAAATTTTGTTAAGTTAAAAATCGTATAAAAAGAAATTTTGTCAAATGCTAATTCGAAAAATGAAAATTCATCTATAAACTATTTATTTCAACACTGAATAAAAAGATTTTGTGTTTGGAAAAAAAATCGTTTGGTTAGGCAATTTTCATTCTTGAAACCAAAATTTTGCTTGGCTGAAACAAAGTACAGTTATCTCAATGAAATATTTGGTTATGCCAACAAAATTATTTGGTTGAACATTTTTAAATTAAAAATTTTAAAACCAAAATTTGGTTACGACAACAAAACAGTTTGATCTAAAAAACCAAATTATTGTTCTACTAACCAAATTTTGGTTTCATCAACCAAACATTTTTGTAATGCCAACAAGAAACAGTCAACCAAATTTTTTGGTTGACTCAAATAAATAGTTTGATTTTGAAATTTTTTGTTGGTCCAACCAAATTTTGGTTGCTCTAACTAAACATTTTTCTCAGTGTAATAAAATTTCTTAAAATGAAAATTGTAATTAATGATTTTTATTGGATAATGCGGCCTATTTATATTTATTGCATAAAGCGTGTTGTCTCTCTTGTCTTGAAAGACATATTGGATAATGTCAAAAAGTTATTTTGTGTCCCCTTTGCAATTGTGTCAAGCGAGAAGAGAATGCGGCATCTCCTGCTCTCTTGGACAGAATGAGGGATCAGAGTGTGTCAAACAAAAAAAAGTATTTTTAGGGGAAATGGGCTTTCTTGTCTCTCACTTGGAGAGAGAGAGGGAGAGAGAGAGAGAGGCTTTGAGGGAGGAAATTGACTTCTGGCAGGTATAAGTCACGTGCTCGGACTACGCGCGCATCGTTTACGTCGCGAGCCACACACATGTATGAGAAGATGAGTATTTTCCCCCATAAATTTGGAAAACGAGATGTATATATATGTCATTCGGCAAACGAGAAAACAGCCGAGAGTGTCGTAAAAATTCCCTCTTCTCTGGAAATTGTCGATATCTTCTCATACTTGATGCACTTGGAACAATTGGTTCTCTTGTGTTTCCTCTCTCTCACTCTCTCTCTCTCTTTCTCTCTCGGTGCGCAAAAGAAAACTGATTGACTCGGTGCAGCGGCACGTGAATCGATAAGAACGACGACCAATGGATTCCGAAACCCGAGTAAAAGGAAGCCAAACCTGAAGGTGTAGGAGAAAGAGGGTAAAATGAAAGAAAGAGAGCTTTCCAACTATTTAACCCTTTCTTGTACAGATCTCGCAACTTGGATTCAAACATGTTTATGTTTACGACACACGTCACTGTGTAAAATAGAGTCGTAAAATGTACCGAGAAATCAATTACTCCGTTGTAGTTTTCTACCTCTCAATATCTTCTCTCTCTTTCTCTCTCTCTCTATATATAAAAATCAATCAATATCTCGTTTCGCCTCTATGCAATCAGCCCAAAAAGAAAAAAAAAATGTATAAATTTTTCAAACTATTTGAAGAAAGTGAATTTGCTAGTTTAGCTTTTTATCTATTATGGTTAAAAAATTTCAATCTTCATTTTTTTTTACAATCTCGTTTTACAGTCGATCAACCAACAAACATCAAAGTATTTTATTACATAATGGATTAAAAGTGTGTTATCTTTTTTTATTATCTCCCTTCTTTTATTATATATATTCAGTAAAAAAAAAATGTCGAATTTTTTTTTTGCTCCCCTTTTTCTATATTCATATTTGTTTATAACTTTTGTAATTTCTTTTTTTTTGATTACTTTATTTTTCTTATAAAAATGATCTTTAAATATAAATTTCACTATCTTGTTCATAAATTTTCTGTTCTTTTTTTCATGTTCATGAATTTCTTTATCATGCTCATAAATTTTCTTACACACAATTTAAATATACAAGAAAACAAATAATGTGAAATATTTTTGCATAGTTTTTTCTTTTTTTTTTAATTCTCCAAATAATTAATTTTGTAAAATATTTATTTTTTATATTGAAAATATATAGAAATAAATAAGCAAATACATAAAGTTTTTTTTTTCTTTCCTTTCTTGTAAAATCAATTTTGAAGCAATAAAACCGCACACGATCCTATCTTAATGGAATTCTCTTTAACGTTTATGAAATTCTACGTAACCACATTAAATCGATTGTGTATATCCTATACAAAATTATACACACGCATTTAATATATTAGAATTCCATGAAATTTTATTACGACTCTGTAAATAATTTGATTTAAATATTTTATTTAGAAATCTCATAAAATGGAATTGTGCAATATTTTAGCCGGATAAAAAATACATTTTTTTTTTTTGCAATTTGGAAATTTTTGTTAGTTTAAGAACGTGGTTGAAAGAAAGAAAGTTTTAGAAGGAAAAAATAAGGGGCGATATGGTTCAGGTGGAATAAAGCTCTTAGTAGATATATATATATATATACGAATACATATATATGTGTATAGATATATTCGTGTGGGGTTGTCGTAAAATGTCCACGGAATTTGAAACGAGGATCAACGTCGCCCTCGTTTCATTACCATGAATGTTCCGCCTGTCTGGGAACTCTGGCGACTTACTCTACATAAGCTTATTCCCCTACTTCCTATATACCTGCTCTTGGTTATTGTTTATGCAAACGCAGATTACTCTATCGATCCTTCTTTAGCATTTTGTTCAACTAAAGTATTTTATATATATAATAAAACAAGAAATTGATACTTTTTGTAAAAAAGAAAATTTTTAATCAATATCAATTATTCCATAAAATCAAAGAAATTCTAATATTTAAATATACTACCTGAAAAAAATGGAAAACAAAAATATAAAATAACTTTTACTATTTCCGTAATAAAACCTGAACTGTCCGGAACTTCTGTATACATTTCTGCCAACTTTTGCTCCGGAAATAGAAAAAATTACTATACTAAAATAGTAAAGTTTACTCCGGAAATAGTAGTTTTTACTATTTACGGAGTAAAAGTTGTCAGAAATGCACAAAAGTTGCGAACAGTTTAGATTTTACTTTGTAAATAGTAATAGTTACTTTATATATTTTTCCGTGTATTATTAATATTAATTTAAAAGAATATTTTTCGATTTCAAAAAATTTGGAATTTTCTCACAAGTTTCAATTATTTTTTTCCGAATTGAAAAGAAATAACTTTTAGTTTGATAATAATGGTAAAAAATGGAAACGCAAGTCAGAAAAGTGAAGTGTATGAGAGTAGAAGCAAAAAAGGGACTTGAGAATTGAAAAGAAAGGGGTGAAACATTCGAATCTCGTACACATTTCCGCGGAATGAAAAGAGTCTTAAATTTTCCTTTTTTTATAAAGGCGTCAGAGAGACGAAATTTCGGGGTATATGAAGCGTTGACTTGATCAAAGACGACGTTTCCTGAAACATCTGGATCTTCTTCATCGCTATCCCCTTACCCTCCAAAAAACATTATGAATAATTTAGATGTTTTTTCAGCCGACTAACTGTATTTTGCTTTGAAAAAAAAAATTGTCCGTGTTACAAAAATTATTTTTCATTCCTCTTGAAAATTGTCCATAAATATCGAAAGTATTTTTAATGATTTATTTGATATTTTTGAAAAAAGAAATCTATAAGTGTAAATTTTAATTGAATTTAATTTTATATTTTATGGGATGCGGGAATGAAGGTGAGTTTATCGAATAGAGTCATAGAGCCCGTATATATATACATATATAGAATATAAAATGGCACAGGTGCTGAAGATACCAAAAGTCTTCCTATATATATATATAGAGAGAGAGAGAGCAATTACATAAAGAGCAATTGTAAGAACCATTTAAGAAATTAATGAAAATGATTCTGAAAAAAGAATTGAATGTGAAAAAAAATAACTTTCATCTCGCGAGACACTGGTTTTGAAAACGACGCCTCCTTTTAAAAGCTACACTATTTTTATTTGCCCTCCTTCGTATATATACTCTTCTCTAACAATTTGTCTGGCGGTTTGTCTATTTCTACCACACGTTTATTTATACAGAAATAGTGGAATGATCTCTCTTCACTGTCCCACTCTTAAAAAATATTTAAAATACTTTTATCATTATTATTACAATTAATATTAGAATAAAAATGAAAATACGATCGTTTTGACAGTAAAATGTTGTTTTTTTTTCCTTCGTTTTCCTATACTGTAACTGGTGATTATTTAAAACAGCGGCGTGAACGAAAGACATGAAACACTCGACCTGTTTATTTCGAGTTTACGACAACATAAAAAAGTAAAACTACTCATCAATTATTTACGGCGTTTTAAAAATCTCGAAGCACTGTTATTTTTACAATTTGAAATTTTAAGTCTTGCATTTATATATATATGAAAATATTTTTAAAATGTATATTTTTTTTTGTTTCAGGATGGTCCGAATGATCGGAGATGAATTTCTAACAGAAGAAAGGGATCGAAAATATTATGCGGATCATTATACTTGCTTTCCACCGCCGTTGTTCATCATTCTCATTACACTCGTTGAGGTGAGTAAAAACGAACCCTCTTTCACTTTATATCGGTTACCAGGCGCAATTTTACACATTATAAATCACCTATCTACTTATATATATAGAGACTAAGAAAAGTGATCGAGAACTTGGTACCTCATCGTTAATTAAATTCACAAGTTTATATGGTAGCAAGTTGGTAAACTGATACCACGATAAGTATCATCTCTCTCTATATATATATATATATATATATATACGATGCGTCACAATATATGTGTGTTATATGTAATTTTAACCATCATCGGTTATTACCCATTAACGAGAACGTTGCTTGATGCACGATGTACGCTTCGGGTCAAAATTTGTCACATTTCAGCTAGCTCAATTTTAATAATAATTTATAGCTGTCTGCTCATATACAACATATTATATATCCCATGTGTATGTGTGTTCCACATCGCCTATCAAAGTCCCACGAGTAACGATTTTTCATTCGTGTCAACAAATTAGAAAATTCACAATTTTTTATTATTTGTATTTTTCAATTTTTATTAACTTTTTTTCATGAATTTTTGTAAGAATTTTAGGGAAAAAAAATAGCAAACTTAAATTCACTGAAGGATTTGTCCTGTTTTGAAATATTTACCGTATTTAAAAAAATATTTACTCTCTAAATCTGAATTAGTAAAAATGTTTACTAATTTAAATTAGTGACTCACTTATTGCTTTAGAATTAGTTAAATTTTACTAATTGTTAGTTAAAGTTACTAATAATTAGTCAAATTTTACTAATTCAGAAGCAAAAAGTGAGTCACTAATTCAGATTACTATTTTTACTAATTCAGATTTAGAGAGTAGTTTGGAAAAATTCAATTACTCTCTAAATTTGAATTAGTAAAAAATATTACTAATTTGAATTAGTGATTCAATTTTTGCTTTTGAATTAGTAAAATTCAACTAATTAATAGTAAAAGAAAAATTTTCTTACTTTCGAATTAGTAAAATTACTCTCTAAATTTGAATTAGTGAAAAGTAAGCTACTAATTCAAATTAGTAAGAATTTTTACTAATTTTTAGTAAAATATCCTACTATTTTATTTAGTAGTTTAAAATTTTTTTTTACTAAAGTTTTAGTAAACAGTGACTAAGGATTAGTAAAAATTTCTACTAATTTAAATTAGTATAGCTCACTTTTCACTAATTCAGATTTATAGACTAAACTAATTCAAAAGCAAACAGTGAGTCATTAATTCAAATTAGTTGACAATTTTACTAATTAAATTTAGAGAGTAACTACAATGAAAAAGAAATGTATTTGATTCAAATAATCGGTTACTTGACTAATATCAAATAAATATTTATTTGTATCAAATAATTATTATTTGAGATGATATTTTTTTCAAAATACAGAAATTATTGGCAGTTTATTTAATTCAAATAAAAAAATTATTTGGTTCAAGTAAATATTTATTTGACAATAGTTTTTTAACGGATTATTTGAGTCAAATAAAATTTTTTTTCAGTGTATATTTGAAACTACATTTTTAAATATAATTTTCTTCAAAAATTTATTTGATAAAAAAGTACATTCCATTTTAATGAACTTTTGAGGAATTTAAAAAAAATTATGATATAAAATGTTAATTTCCCTATAAATTATACCTTTTTTTATTAATTTTGAAATTAAGTTTTTAATACATCTTGCATATGTTTTAAGTATACATTATTACAAAAATAAATGAATTTTAGATTATTAATTTAATGAAAATTAAAAAATATAGTTTTTCAACATTTTTTTTTTAATACAATTTTTAATTGTAAATTTTTATACCATAGAAAAATTTAACTATTTTCATAACATTTATCTGCAACTTTTTCAAAAAATTTTATTATAATTTTCAAAATGCATTAAAATTTTATAATAGAAAATATTGAAAAGTATAAAATTAACACGGTAGAATTCATTTTACTCAAAGGCTTATATGTAATTACAGTTTTACTCATGGATTAAATATAATATATAATAATGTTCTTTATAGTTACGCAAATATAAAAATTAAAAATATTTTTATCAAATAAAAATTTTTCTTTCGTATACGTTCATAAAATGTAGATATATGTGTATATATATATGAATCATACACACGTTTTTTGGTAAAATCCCCCGCGTGATTCATTAACTAGAAGTCGGTCACTGAATAAAATCGTTAAAACTTTTATAACAATTTACACATTACATTATTGAAATTTTCCTTCTTGTGGCAATGATAAAAAATCCCTTTCAATTTCTGCGAAATTTAAATATGTAAAAGTCACTAAATAAATGAGTTTTGTTCGAAAAAATTATAAACTTATTAAGAATTAAAATTATTATTGTTATAATAATAATAATAATTATTATTATTATTATTATTCTGCGTCTTATTATTATTGTTATTTTTTTTATTTTTGTTATTGTTATCGTTATTAATATTTGAATTGTTGATTTAGTTTGCTGCAAATAATTATCAGTTGTGTTTTAGTTTGAAATAGTTTGACGATTGTTCCTCTCTAAAATATTGTTTCCAATAAATTAATAATAATCGTGTGTGTATGGGAGCGACACTATATATATATAATATTTTCGTACCAGCGATCTAAAGCGGTACGATAAAGAATGGCGCGCAGCGGGGATAGGAATATAATAATGTATACGGCTTCATGTACCATAGACACGACAAACTTTTGCGTAAATCGCACTAAATTACCACGGAAGTATTATCATTTACCTGAATATAATGGACGCGCTATACGTGCTCCTGTATTATACTTTAATATACGAGCCAAAAGTGGCACGACTATGTTATATATACATATATATATATATGTATGCGCGCGATATAGAGAGAGACACACAGCGTGCAATAAATTATTATTAGAATCGAACCTGCAGCGAATGTGACAATCTCCGGGCGTGAATCACCCGCTACCGCACACAGTAATTGGCAATAATCGTGTCTTCCCGAATAGAACACTCTAGTTATTATTAACACCATGTGACGTGAAGACGAATCACCTGCACCTCGATAATGATAAGTCCCCATATTCTCGTATGTCAAACTTCCTCCTCTCCCCCCACCCATCCAAGATAATATTAAACAATAGACACATATAGCTTGATCGAATTCATCATCACCTTTGGTGTGTTGGTGTCTGATAAGAGAGAGAGAGAGTGAGGGAGAGGAAATTCAGCAATCTCCATTCTGTCATTTGTATGTCACTCCGATATGTGCATTATCTTTATCGTGTTCAATGAAATAGGAATTTATTCATATTTAAGGAGGGTGGCGGGTCAACATAACCTCAAAAATCTGTCCAAACTAGAAAATTGTTTTTAACGCAAACAAAAATATAATAAATATTAATTTGAAACAATTTTAGAACATCTAGATTTAATACTTTCGAAAAAAATTAACGAAGCTGAAGTACGCAACGTTTATGATAAACGATTTTTAAAGAAATAATTTTTTCAAATGAAAAATATTTTTTTATAATTTGTTCATTACTCTACAAGAAATATTTTTTAGGTGAAAAACTTCTAGAAATTTTCATTTAAAACAATTATTTCTTTAAAAATCGTTTATCATAAACGTTGCGTACTTCAGCTTCGTAAAAAATTATTTTTTTCCAAAATATTTTGTCAATAATTATTTTTTTAACATTTAGTTTTTTTTTCTTTTAAATTAGACAAAAATTGCAATTTTTAACTAATTTTCATAAACAAAAGCTCATTTTACTCAGTGAAACATTCTCTACAATTGTTACCTTTTTTTCATATTATAATAAGTATGTTCTTAAAAAGTTATAAACAATTAAAATTTTATTTATAAAATAACTTTTTAAGAACATACTTATTATAATATGAAAAAAAAGGTAACAATTGTAGAGAATGTTTCACTGAGTAAAATGAGCTTTTGTTTATAAAAATTGGTTAAAAATTGCAATTTTTGTCTGATTTAAAAGAAAAAAAAAACTAAATGTTAAAAAAATAATTATTGACAAAATATTTTAGAAAAAAATAATTTTTTTCGAAAGGAGTAAATCTAGATCTTCTAAAATTGTTTCAAATTAATATTTATTATATTTTTGTTTGCGTTAAAAACGTTTTTTTAGTTTTGACAGGTTTTTGAGGTTATGTTGACTCGCCACCCTCCTTAATACTTTTTTTTTTTGGAAATTTCTATTTTTATAATAAAAAATTATTAAATATAAATGGTATTAACATACCGTTGCTAAGGAAAAACATTCTTAGCAACAGTTGCTAAGGAAAAAAAATCCTTAGCAACCGTCGCTGAGGAAGAAAAATTCTTAGTAACCGTTGCTAATGAAAAAAAAATCCTTAGCAACCGTCGCTGAGGAAGAAAAATTCTTAGTAACCGTTGCTAAGGAAAAAAAAATCCTTAGCAACCGTTGCAACAAAAACAAAACCCTAAAAGTATTTCTAAATCAAATAGTAATAATTTACTAAAAATTGGTGAAAATTGATACTAATTTGAATTAGTATTTGAATTATCAAATAATTATTATTTGAGTCAATTGAATGGTATTTGTTTCAAATATAGAAATTATTGATTCAAATAAAAATTATTTGCTTCAAGTAAATATTTATTTGATAATATAGTAGATTATTTAAATCAAAGAAAATTTTTTTCAGTATAATAGAGTAGGACTCTAAAAAATTAATTCGAAATCAAATATATTTAAAGATTGTATTTTTGAAAAAGAAAACAGTAACTAATAATAAATAAAAAATGCATGGGAAAATTATAATGCGACTGAAATACTAGTTAGAAGATGATATTTTGATTGCAAAGTCTATAAAAGATGCTAATAATAATTGCATTCGTCTATGAAAAAAAGATCCTAATGATTATTTGTATGGATTTGATTGTGAAATATATAGAAAAGAGTCTAATGATTATTTAGAAGTTTTACTGAAGGGGGTAATTTTTGCGATAAGAGGATCGTTTTCATGTCTTTGAATGTAACGAGCG